ACAAACACCACACAATTCGGCAGCGTCTAATCTGCTAGGAAAACATGGTCCATTTCGGAAACGTTTATATCCCTTCCCTCCCAGGAACAGGTGCAGACATGCCTTATGATAGTATTCTTACGTGCTGGATCCCCCGACAAGGAAAGATGAATCCTGAGAAGATAAAGTATTAATTGACATTGCTGGTGGGTACTTACAGCTTTTTAAGGGAGCTGTTAAAAGTTGTCTGATTATTCACTATTCTGGATGAGTATTCTTTGAAAAAAATTTTAATACATCTGAGTAGAGTTTACATTTTACTCTTTCTTTTTTTTTTGGCAGGCTTTTTTTGGGTCTTTTTGTTGTCTTTTATAAAGGAAATTTTTTTCTAAATTCAAAAGATACTTCCAGGGGAGAAATAATAAAGTGCTATACTCAATGTCGGTGTCACAGTACAATTTATGAGGTTAACAGACTGTTCAAGAAATTTAACTATCCTGAACAAGACCCTCTAGGCTCATGCATTTTAAGTACTTTTTCCTCCAATTTCTCAGTAATGCACCATATTTTTTTCCTTATACCTTTTGAACCCCTTCACGCATTTCTCCTACCCCTCACCCTCCCACCCCTGGCAACCCCCAGCCTGGGAGCTAGATTCTACCTATGCCTGATTTACATTTAGTCTCTCTTTATTTTTTTAATTTTTATTTTTATTGAAGTATAGTTAGTTTACAATGTGTTAGCTTCTAGTGTACAGCATAGTGATTCAGATAGATAGATAGATAGATAGATAGATAGATAGATAGATAGACAGACAGATATTCCTTTTTATATTCTTATTCATTGTAGGCTATTACAAGGAATTGAATACAGTTCCCTGAGCTCTACAGTAGGACCTTGTTGCTTATCTGGTTTATATGTAGTGGTGCGTATCTGCTAATCCCTCTCTTTAAAATGACTACTTTGTCCTTTTGTTTAGGGAGAAGACATCGTGTCTTTGCACTTGGAGGTAAAGAAGCTTTGAGATGCCATCACACGGGAGCATCCTAGTGCCTTACATCGGTGAGGATTTCCATAGTCGTGACCACAAAGTGCTTTCACGTGCATTTTCTAATTCAGCCCGTGGCAGTCTGGTGAGAAGCCAGGACAGGGATCTGCGGCCGATCTCACAGACAGAGGACTGTGGAGCAGACAGGCTCCCCAACTCCTCCCCAAACCACGTGGCTGAGGAGAAGCATGGCATGAAACTGCTGGACAAATGTGCTTACTTATTCTTTGAGAAGTTTAAATCTTTCAGAAACTTGGATGGAAGGAAATATGGCTTTAATACTTCCACGATCACATCAAGCATCTCAGCGGTAGAAGCCAGGACACAGACAGAGCACGTTAGGTCACCTCTTAGACCCGAGGGAGGGTCCTGAGGAAGGTGGTTGGGTGGGCCTTTATCCCTTTCAAGGCAAAAGGAGCATCTCTTTACATTTAAATCCCAGGCATCAGGTGCTTCTAAGTAGTAACACCTCCCCAAACAGCCTTTAAGTGCAAGAACTTCTCAGCATCTGTAACAACGTATTCAACTGCCTTCTTTAAAGCGGATTTACCAAGTTTTGCTTTTGTCCAGCAACCACATTCTGCTGTTATATCCAAGGGTGCCAAGGTACAGCTGTAATACACCTAAAGCTTGCCCTCCGGTTACAGAATCTCCTGCACTTAGAAACCAGCAAGGGTGTAAGTAACTCCTACGAATTTTTAAATATATACAAGATCTTGTGGTAGCTCACAGCGAAAAAAATGTGACAATGATTATATGTATACATTTTTCATGTATAACTGAAAAATTGTGCTCTACACTGGAATTTGACACAACATTGTAAAATGACTACAACTCAGTAAAAAATGTTAAAAAAAAATTCCTACAAAAACTTCTGTTTCGCAATGTTAGGTCTGCATGGGGAATTCTGACAGGTAGAGTCCAGCACTGTGTCCATAATGAGTGCTTGTCCATAGGAGGGAGGCCCTGGGCTCCCCCAAACCTACCGTCTCCCACTTCTCCCATCAGATCTTCTCAACATTCATTACTGTCTGAAAGGACTGGATCATTCCTGTGCCAACTTGATTTCTGGGTTTCCCTCTACTAGATATGAGCTCTGTGAGCAGGGTCCTAGTCGGCTCCGTTCGCTGCTGTAGTCCTGGTGCCGAGAAAGGGTGTGTCACTTAGTAGATGCTCAGCAAATATTTTTTGGATGCATGAATGAGCAAATATATGAATGAATGGTGGCCAGAGAAAGCAAGACTGAACTATGAAGCTCTGAGCCAGCAAATACCATGGCGCCCAGATTTTGACCAACTACCAACAGTGCAGAATGAAGTCATAAATGATCTTCCTAACACTCCTGATGAAATTCCATTCTTCCTAATATAGAGTTCTAGAAGGTGTTTTTATAACCTGGCTATGGAAGAAGCCAGAAGCAGAGAATTTGCTCACTCTCATCAAGGATGAGAAAATGTATTTTGAGAAAAAGTATTGTGATCGGTCTCAAATTACTTATTGGGTGACTGCAAAGTGTCAGAAACTGAGGGAGGCAAGGAGACTCCCATGAGTTGTCAATGGTTTCTATCCCCATGTCCAAATGTGCATGTGTCCACGCCTTCCAGACCCTGGTCCCTTGACTTTGATGATCCTGGCTGTGCCTGGCAAATTCACCCTCCTCCCAGGCTGACTCACCTGCACCTCTCCTGGCAAGTCCAGGCTCTCCATCACTGATGCTTCCCAAGCCTCCAGGGGATGGCTGAACGCCTGCTACGCACACCAACCTGAAACTGTTTGGGTAAACATCTACACCTCATCCAACCATGAGTCAAGGCCTAAGGCATATGATCTCACAGAGCCTTGCCAAAGGTCTCTGTTGAATGAATTAATAAATTCCAGACGATAGATGTGTAGCTCTTGGCTTCTGAGAACTACTCACAAGAATGGTTTGAAGTATGTCTTTGGGCTGCAATAAATTCTAAGGCTGAAAATACTAAAGGAAGATTACACATTGCAACAGGCTCCTTGGCACAACCTGCCGAGAACCGCCAGCTTCCCAGGGACTTGAGAAGCCTTATACAGGAATCCTTATTGAATTTTGGGGGCCATTCAAGAGAAACAAGTTTTTTATTTCCCCCTCCACTGTAGCATTTCATTCTCAAAAAAAAAAAAAAAGGCTTGAATGTCTTCCGTTTCCATGTCAAACCTCTGTTAAGACAATCAGGGCTTTGTGCCAGCCACTGGCTTGGGACAATGGATCAGTGTTTACTTCAGTTGAGATTAGAGAATCTGTCAGCAGTCACCTTATCTAAGACGTCAACGTTGGGTCTCACTGCTGTTCAACAATGGTTGGGTTAAAAGATTAGTAAGAATGCCTTGAAGGGACTTGTTAGAGGCCACGTTTCACATCACTCATCATGTCTCTCCATGTCCAACAACAGGCATCCATTCTTCTGTGACATTAATGGGACAATGTCTTGAGATTGTCTCAATCTTCTTCTGGATGTCAGTGAAGATGTGAAACCAGTAGGGCCAATCCCTAGGTGGTGGTCTGAAGCCCTTCTTGTCTCTCATTGAAACTCCAAGAGTTATTCCTCACTAGAAATTCTGGAGATGGACCAGGCTGGGTTTCTTACACCCTAATTGAAATTGTAAGCCTCAGGTCACCTAAAATCACATGTGGTTCCAACTGCAAATGGTTTGCTGTGGCATCACTGTTATTGACCTGAGAAAGCATTTCTCCTTAGAGGTGACAACTGAATTTCAGAAGTATGTTCTTAAAGGTCTTGCTACTCACAGGGGAATCCTTGGAACAGCAGCATCAGCATCACCTGGGAGCTCAAGGAAATGCAAATTCATGCCTCTTCTCCCACCCAGATTTACTGAATGAAGGTGGGGCCCAGGAGTCTTTCCTTCAAGAAGATCTCCAGGTGATTCTGAATGTGTACTAAAACTTGAGGTCTGCTTTAAAGCACTCCCATGTAAATTTCTGAGCCATACTTCCCAGAGGACTGGAATCAAAAGCCAGAAACAGGCAATTATTTTCAGGTTCCTACAACTGCTAACAGAGTGTTGTATACAGGTTTTGCCCTAGGATAACTGCAAAAGAGACTCGCTAAGTAAAACCTGTTCACTGGGAGAGGAGTAAGATTCACAGGGGAGGCAGAAGTTCAGGGCTAGTGGTTGGTTCTTTCCAAGTCCCTAGTGTTTTCTAGTGAATGGTTCTGGGTAAGATCAATACAAAGTAGTTCTAACCCTAAAAAGAGAAGAGGATTATGGTTGAATCCTCTTGCTCATTTCAGCCTGCTTACTCCTCCCTGTCTCACACTAGGTGATCACAGAAACATCAGGTGAATTCCTCACAGATTCTTTCAGATCCTTTCATCATTCTGATAATCCACACCATGAGCCCTTCAGTGGTGCATCTCTGAAACGAGCAAAACTCTCATCAGTTCTTAGGTTGAATCTTCAATGAGAAACTTTGGAGGAGACATTACAACTGATGCCAGAGAAATAAAAATGATCATAAGAGACCACTATGAACAATTATACACCAACAAATTGAATACCATGGAAGAAATGGATAAACTCCTGGAAACATACAACCTACTAAGACTGAATCTTGATGAAGTAGAAAATCTGAACAAATAACAAAGAGATGAAATCAGCAATCAAAAACCTCCCAACAAGGAAAAGCTCAGGACCAGACGGTTTCCCTAGTGAATTCTACCGAACATTTAAAGAGGAATTAATTCCAATCCTTGTCAAACTCTTCCAAAACATTGAAGAGAAGGAAACACTCCCAAACTCATTTTATGAGGTTAGGATAGCACTGATACCAAAGCCAGAAAAGGACACCACAAGAAAAGAAAACTACAGGCAAATATCCCTGATGAACACAGATGCAAAAAGAAAAAAAAGAAAAAGAAGAAAAAAAGACAACTCATCAAAATATTAGCAAACTGAATTCAACAGCACATTAAAGATCATATACCATGACCAAGTACAACTGATCCCTGTGATGTGAAGGTGGTTCAGGATATGTACTGATTACTGTGATATACCACCTTAATAGAATGAAGGATGAAAATCAGATGACCATCTCAGTGCATGCAGGAAAATTATCTGACAAAATTCAACACCCTCAGCAAAGTAGGCACAGAAGGAATTTACCTCAATATAATAAAGATCACATATGATAAGCTCACAGCTCATATCATATTCAATGATTTAAAAAATGAGAGCTTTTATTCTAAATCAGGAAGAAGATAAGAGTGCCTACTCTTGCCACTGCTATTCAACATAGTAGTAGAAGTCCTAGCCAGAGCAATTACACAAGAAAAAATAAAATGCATTCAAATAGGAAAGGAAGAAGTAAAATTATATCTGCAGACGACATAATCTTATTTGTAAAAAACTCTAAAGCCTCCACCAAAAAACTGTTAGACCTAATAAATAAATTTAGTAAAGATGCAGGATGCAAAATCAACATACAAAATTCAGTTGCGTTTCTATACACTAAATAATGGATTATCCAAAAAGGAAATTAAGAAAACAATCCCATTTACAAATGCAAGAATAAAATACTTAGGAATAAATTTAACCAAGAGGGTAAAAGACTTGTACACTAAAAACTACAGAACAGTGATGAAAGAAGTTAAACACAAGTAAACAGAAACACATCCTTCCAATCTTCATAGATTGAAAGACTTAATATATATTGTTAAAATGTCCACACCACCCAAAGCCATCTATGGATTCAATGCAACTCCCATCAAAATCTCAATGGCACTTTTTTTTATAGGAAGAGAGAAAGCAATCCTAAAATTCATATAAAACCTCTATAGACCCTAAATAACAAAAGCAATCTTGAGGAAAAACATAGCTAGCGACATCACATCTCCTGGTTTCAAAATATATTACAAAGCTACAGTAATTAAAACAGTATGGCACCGGCCTAAAGCTAGGCATATAGATCAGTGAAACAGAATCAAGAGCCCCCAAATAAACCAACATATATATGGCAACTGATCTTATACAAGGGTGCTGAGAATACACAATGGGGAAAGGATAGTTTCTCCAAAAAATGGAGTTTGGAAAGCTAGATATCCACATGCAAAAGAATGAAATTAGACCCTTATTTTACATCTTACATACAAACCAACTCAAAATCAATTAAAGACTTAAACTTAAGACTTGAAACTATAAAAACTCCTAGAAGAAAACATAGGGGAAATTGCTCTGACATTGGTCTTGGCAATGATTTCTTGGATATAACACCAAAAGCACAGGCTACAAAAACAAAAATTGACAAGTGGGACTACAACAAACTCAAAAACATCTACAAGCAAAGGAAACAATCAACAGAATGAAAAGGCAGCATATAGAATACGAGAAAATATTTGCAAACTGTTTACTTGATAAGGGGTTTTATATTCAAAATACATAAGGAATTCCTACAACTCAATAGCAAAAACATCAATAACCAGATTTTAAAAACAGCAAAGGAATTGTATAGACATTTCTTCAAAGATATATGGATATCCAACAGGCACATGAAAAGGTGCTCAACATCACTCATCTTCAGGGAAGTGCAAATCAAAACCACAAGGAGGTATCACCTCACACCTGTTAGAATGGCTGTTATCAAACAGCTAGAACTTATTCAGCTGAAGATCTGCTGTACAACATTGTGCCTATAGTTAATGATACTCTACTGTGCACTTAAAAATTTGTTGAGAGTGAATCTCATGTCAAGTGTTCTTAACACAATGAAAAAACAATCCCATAATCTGTTTCCTCTGTCTCTCTTTGATTAAAGAATCTATCCCATCAGGTTTTGGAGTTCTAGGTGGCTGGAAAAGAGTCCAATTTGAGGACTATGGGAAGAAAGCAGGCAAAATTAGCAGAGATACTAATATCATACGAGCAATACAACCTCCACATTCTGCTTTGAGGGTTAACTCCCATCACATTTGGAACGGTTAGGGCCAGCCAGGAGACTCCAAAGGCATCATACATTCAGTAGGGAAAACTTAAAAGGAAGAAAAAGAAATGAGATGTGAGGCTTTTCAACTTTGAATGAAAAAATAATCAAAAAGAAAAACCAGTGAAGATGATAAGTCATGATGCACGTGGTAAAACCATCTTGAGGCTCTTGTATAACAACCCCTGACAGTTCAAGACCTATCACTTCAGCTTGAAACTATGAACACCTGCTCATATTGTGACTTGAGGGCATTATTCAAGATTTACTCAAGTCATTTTTTTCAGGGCAAGTCAATTTACTTACCCAAGTGGAGATTTAAAAACCTGAGGGAGCCATCTGGTGGCTTGTGTGCCTTCTAATTAAAACCCTTCTCCTCGGCACAAGACTGCTGCCCTGTGGGTACCATCGTTGGAGCAAATGGCACAATACAAACAAGAGTTGACAAAAAGCATTCCGATGCTGTACAAAAGCCAAACAGCATACTTTAGATGTGACCAAACCAAGATTAAGAGTGGGTATGCTTAAGACTCATTCTGATACTATTTCCTCTATCTGCTCTGAAAAAGAAACCACATAATGGCTATGAATAATAAAAAGTTCTGTTTGAGCTCAATTTCAAGATTGCATTTTTCACAAATAATTTCACAATTAATTCAGTAATTAAAAAACTAGAAATCAGTCCCCAAACCATACATCAATGCTGAAATGATGCACAGGTTTAATTAGCTTTACATCTTTCTCTGACTCTGTAAGAGGAGCAGTAGAGTAGGATGGGGAGACACAGTTCCTCCGCTCAAAAAAAGAAAAAACTCAAATCCTGAGCACAGTCCATAAAAATACTTTAGTATTTACTACTCTCTTTCATGTTTTATAAATTGTTCATGGTTTCAGGGCAGAGTCTATTTCTTCAAGCTCTGGAAAAATTTTTCTCTGTAATGCATTTTATTTTCCTGTCAAAAAAGAGTATGTATTATTCTCATTAGGAAGGAGGAAAGATGACTTCAAAATTTCAGATAATTGCCTTGAGTAAGAGGCAGTTCTTCTGTAACAATGCACTTTATAAACTTTTCTTCTAAAGCTTCTATTACTTTGATTTGCCTGGCACCAAATAAGTTACTGGAAATGATTTGTTTTTTTCACATGAGGAAATCCCAGTTCCTTACACAATAGACTAATTACACAGGCAACCACGAAGAACAAGCAGTTAAGAGCTTCTTGTTATTACCTTTGTAGTTCATTATTAAAGTATAGATTGGCTGTCAAAATGTACCAGAAAGTTGGCGTAAATGTTGAAAATCAAAATGTAATTTTTAGACTTAAAACCAATACAAAGACTGCTTTAAAAAAAGATGTCTCCTAATCTATAATTTAAACCAAATATAATATGAAACATAGACTATGAAATGTACATCGTCACTGGGCTATTTCTAAATTAACGGCATTCTTTTTTTGCTGTTGCTTAACATTTTTGCTTATTATTATGGTTGTCCCGGATAAACCGAACACTTTCTGAGGTTCATAACTAGAAGTATGTATATTACTTATTTGTTAATTTAAAATACTTTAATTACATTAAGTGTATGTTCCACCTTTTATTGAATTGTTTTCTTTAAATTAGTTTAAACTCCAATTGTAATAGCCATACATGTTTATTTTCTGTGGATATTAAAGTGCAACCTGTTTCCATTTTTATTTTTAATTTATATTAATCTTTCTGTTGTATTCAAAAGAGAGTTCAGTCTTTAAAACTCAAATGATTCCTTGACATTTCAATCATAAATTCATTATTTTAAATTTAATGAGTCATTTTTGCTATATATAACACTTGCTTTGAAAATATGAACTTGTTCCAACATGACTGATAGATCACATAATTTCCTATTTGCATATATGCAATCTTGTCTGTGAGGAACACTAGGTCGGTTCTAAATCAGGGCAATTTTGCCCCCGAGAAGACATCTGGCAATGTCCCGAGACACTTCTGCCATGACTAGGGTTGCTACTGGCATCTCGCAGGCAGAGGCTAAGGATGCTGACGATCCTACAATGAGCACAACAGCTCCCCCCAGCTCCTGCCACAACACAAAACTATCCAGTAGCAAATGTCAGTCAATATTCTGAAAAAGGTAAGCAACACGGCATTCAGCAAAAGAAGAACTGAGCTGAGTAGGAACATACAAAATGCACACATGCACATCCTACAAGCTACCTCAGATTTGCCCATGTGATAAGCCCCACCACCCACATCGCTCTTACAACTCTCCCCCTGACTACAGATCCTCCTCCTCCTCCTGCCTCCTCCCAGTGACTCACAAGCTCCAACTCTTCCTGCACCCACTTCCGCAAGCAAATTTCAGGTAGTTTTTAAGGTAACTGTTTATTTATTTCTTAGTTCTTTACCATGCATACAATTGTGCTATTTTTATTAGGTTCCCATCTTTATAACATGTCACTGATGAACTTCTGGAGTGTTGTGTGTCTAACACTGTTTCTCCCATAAGCTCTGTGGTTTTTAACATGTGATTTGGCATCTCACAGTGAGTCTTAGAAACACATACGATGATATCATAGCACAACTGAATGCATGTTTTTATTTCTGGGTTAAATATACTTACTCTCCTCTCCTCTTGGATTAAATTCCTTGCTTTTAAAATGTTCTCTGGTCTAAAGGGATTTGAAAATGACTTCAAAAATATGATTTGTAAGCATACATGAGGGTGAGAGACAGAGGTGTTCCCCTAGTTCTGCCACTACCTAAACTTGAAAATAGGTGCCCAGCACAGTGCCTGACATACAGTTGGCATTCATTATTTACTAAATTTACCAGAATAAGCAAAATACCTTCTGTCCTGCCCCTCCAAGATCCAAGTATAATCTGATAGAGGGTATGAACATCCCTAACATTCCTACACTTAACTTTTAAAAATACACGACTTTCTCATGTAACATATGGTGACATGGCCTTTTGGATACACAAGTTAGATGTTCAGACAAATCATGTGAACGTGGCATTACAGCAATGACTTCTAGCCAGAAGTCAAGTTTGAGTTCAATCACTATGTTTGTCTACAGAAGGGTGTTTGCTCAATTGTTTGACTACTTTTGGCCTTTTTCTATTATTATTTACAAAAATAAATGTTAAAT